ATTGGTGCTTTAGTTACAAGTGGAATCAGAGAAATTGAACATTTAAAGTATATCACTAAACAATCTATGATTGCTAGTAATATAAACGCTATGCAAGCTGATAGATTAGTAGCTTTATATGGGAAAAAGCCTGATCCAGAAGTTCAAATGATTAACTCGTACACGAATGGTGACTCAAGAATTCTAAGTAATAAAGCCTCAGCAAGAATAAGAGTTCAACAAATAAGATGGCCATTTAAAAAAGAGGGAAAACAATTGCCCTTCCACGTGTTCATAGATACCCTTGAGCATGATATGAGAATGGCTGATCCAACTAAAAGAGAATGGGTTGATTTCCTAAGAGGAACTCTGAACGATGAATCAAGAAAGGTAGCTGAAGACATTATTAAAGAGGAACCTGAAATCGAGTACGAAAGCTTCAAAATTAAATTACTCAAAAGAGTCGTAACTAGCAAAGATCGAATTAACGCCTACACAACACTCAAGAGCTTAGTTTTTGATATCAACACTGGTGATATTAACAAACATATAACTTTAGTTAAAGAACAAGTACGAAGAATAGACCCAACGGTAACTAATGAAATGTTCATATTAACCTTATTGAACACTTTTCCTTGGAATCTATGTACTGAAATTATGGAACATTTAGACTACAATGATAAAGCTGAAGATCAAATCATCGGAAGAATAGGCATCAAGCAGGTGAATTTAAAGACTAAGAAAACCGAAAGACCTGATTATCAAAAGACTCCAGAAAGAAAGAAATTTTATGAATCAAAATTCAATGAGAGATCAAGGTCAAAGAAGTGGTGTAGTCAATGTAAAAAGACTAATCATAATACACTCCTGCCCATAATTATAGATACACCAAAAATTCGTTAAAATTCAATAAAATTAGTAAATTGTGAACATATTTCTTGGCTTTTTTTTATTGGATTAAGTTAATCTGTGTGTGAGAGAGTTATTTTGAAGCTTTAGGAAATTTTTCTTGAGAAATATGATTTAAATCAACTAAATTGGATTAAAGTTGAGCTTTTGACTCGCGCTAAAATTATAAATACAGATGTTTATAATTAACTAATTAGGAATAAGAAACGCATATAAGTTCCGGACAATTGTTTTTCTAGGTCAGTTTTTCGTCTTCTTTCTGAATATCTAGTTTTCATTTTTGTATTTCTCATATTTTGTGAGTTATTTTTCTAATTGTTGCAAAAAACCTGCGTTTAATTAAAAAACTGAATTATGCCTCGTGGAACTGAATTAAGTGAGTTTGAAAAAGGCCAAATTAATGCTCTACATTCACAAGGTCTATCTTTGAGAAAAATCGCTGCTGAAATCGGTCGTAGCCATACTGTTGTGCAGCATTTTGTCAACTTGCGTGAGAATTATGGTGCAAATCCTCGATCTGGACGCCGTGAATCATTGAGTGATCGTGATAAACGAAGTATTCTTCGATTAGCAGATCAACCTGGATCATCGTCGAAGAGGATTGTGGCTGATTTGCAATTACCTTGCTCTAATAAGACGGTTTTGAAGGTGATTAGAGACTCGAATCTCTATGAATATTCGCAAATGGTGGCTAAACCTAAATTAACGGAAACCCACAAGGAAAAACGAATGGAATTCGCAAGGAATCACATAACATGGACTGATCAATGGTTGAGTGTTATTTTTTCTGATGAAAAGAAGTTCAATCTTGATGGACCCGATGGATCGAGATGCTATTGGCATAAAATTGATACCCCTAAAAAAGTGTTCTCAAAGCGGAATTTCGGTGGTGGAACTGTGATGGTCTG